CCAGCACAACACTTGACAACAGCTTGAAACCTGCGATAGTCCCGGCCGGAGCGATTGGTGATTGGTTGTTTTTTATCATAACTGAGGAACCGCTGTTTCATGACACGATGCCAGCGGAACCAGTCAACTCAAATCCGGTACAGTGGGCGGATTTAACAGTCTGGACTGGTGTTGTCACAATACTGGAATTTCTAGCATCAATACAAGACCTTGAGAAACACAGATGTTCAATAGCGTTTTAATACCTCATCAAATGGCTGTTACTTGTCAACAACAACTTTTCTTTTCCTAGTTAGTAGCAGAAAGCAGCAGAATGATTGTAGAAAGAGCCAAAAAGTGCAGTTGGTAACGCCGTATAGATACTGCGGAAAATAATATTGAAACCATTTTAGATATTCAGAATTAGATTTGACACCACTGGTCTGGACCCCAGATATCTTAGATCCATTTCCCTGTCAGTATTAAAATGCCTTTGATACAGCTGTTGTATTACAGAAGACTGAAACAAATGGCTGATATTTTCTCTTGCTGAGAGTTAGATATTAGATCAGTATCACGCTCCTATCTGTAAGGGGAAGCTAAGCCATATCACGTAACTGCACCATCCCCGGTTCAATTGTGACCTGGGACTTTTGTTGCATGTCACAACCCTCTCTTTATGTCACTACGATCCCTGTCTGCCTCTGTACTGTCCACTATATAATAAAGAATAAAGGCAAAAAAAAAAAAAAAAAAGGCTAGCAGCTGGTTAGCTTAGCTCCACCTAGCTATTTCCCTTTGTTTTCAGACTTTGTAACAAGCTAAGCTAACCATTTCCCTCAGTGGAAATGGAGCTTTTATTTACTTAAATTTCACAGATAAACAATAAATTGTGAAGACAATACATCTTCCACAAAAATAGCATTTCAAGTCTTGTTTGTGATTTATCCTTCAGAGATTTATACTACAGGATTTATCCTGGCTTCATATGAGCGGAGGAAATCTCCGCTCGTCACTAGGCTAATTTATACAATGTAAAATGCCATATGCTTGTGCTAATAATGTTAGCATGTCATATTTGTTTGGAAAACTTGTTTAGTATAACATAATTGTTTTGCCAGTGAACCTTATGAGGTGTAATGAAGCCAAATTATATAATGTTACCTTTGTTAAATGTTGCTGTTGTCCCTGGTGTAATATGAGAAGAGGAAACGTTCGCTAGCTGCTAGGCTAATTTATACAATGTAAAATGCCATAGGCTTGTGCTAATAGCGTTAGCATGTCCTATTTGTTTAGAAAACGTGTTTAGTATCAGACAGTTGTTTTGTCAGTGAACCTCGTGAGTTGTAACGGAGCCAAATTATGTGCCGTTACCTTTGTTAAATGTTGCTGTTGTCCCTGGTTTTATATGGGAGGAGGAAAATATCGCGGGCTGCTGGGCTAATTTATACAATGTAAAATGCCATAGGTTTTGCTAAAAACATTAGCATTAGCAAAATGTGTCCAGATAAAGACAAGTGTTTTGTCTGTGAATGCTGCAAGTTAAAGTGAAGCTGATTTGTGTACTTGTGTTTGAAGTTGGCTCTATTAAGCCATGTTTAATGTGAGTTCAATGTGTGTTTTGACTCAACTTAGCTTTACAGCACTTCACAGAAACTCTGCTGCCAACTAGTGTTTTGGAGGTGTAACTGCAGAGTGACACGGACACACCACCGCACAAGTAAAAATGGTCACAACGGCGCATAGGCTACAGCGTAGGGTCTGCGCACAACTATAAATCCCGCTTAACTCTATATGAGGCAGTAAATAAGCTCCCAAAATGGGATTTCTTGAATATAAAGTGAAACTGCACTTACCAACAATAGTGTAACTCGTGCACTGTGGGGACACAAAAATATTTGACCTTAACTCGGGCTGTGCACTGTTATCAACACCTCCCTTCATTTTCACGTACTTGGAATGTTGCCAGTCTGGAAGTTCAAGCCTACTCTCCTGCATCTTCATTGAAAGTCACTGGAAACGAATAAGAGCATTACAATGGAAATACATGGCTCGAGGAATGTTTGGTGTTCGAGATCAGCCCCTCCTTAACAGCGCTAATGTGTGCATGCATGTGGGTGTTTCGTAGCCATTAAGATAAATATCACAATTGACGTTTTTTTTGTGTGTGTCTTGTTTTTCAGACCATCCGCTCACCGCACAGCATGAAGAAAATCTCCATGTATTTTAAAAGAACGCCTCTGGAGTGATCGCCCGTGCCACTCAGATGCTCTGTGCTTCTGTTTAAAATGCTAGAATTTTATTTGGAGTATTTTTAACCTGAACCCACGGATGATGCTTCTTCAAGAACACTGATCTACGTTCGGATTCCATGAGCACATGAACCTGGGCCGCGCAGAGATCAGCAGAAGAGTCATTCTGAATATTTGACGCTACAGTTTGCTCTCGAGGGGCTGCTTTTTTTTTTATTTTAATTGGGCCACAGGTTTTGCAGTTACCTCCTACACAGTTTTCTGGTGCTGTGCAGAATCTCTGGTTGAAAAAATATCAAGTTGTATGTTGCTGAGTAAATCTGTCGTTTTACTTTAGATGCATCAGTGTTCAACACACATTTAAAAAGTTGTTCAGGAGGTTAACCAGATATTAATCCTCAAGAGCAGAGGAAAATGTTTGTCTACAGGTGGGGACATTTTTAATTCTGCTAAAAACAAACATTTATTTGATCCACATCTTTGAGCAGTTTTATGAACTTCACTGAGTTTATTTATCGTTTCATCTCTTTGTGGGGTTTTTCATGTATGAGTTTGACCTTTTTCCTTCAGTGTTACTCATATAAAACTCTGCTACATGTGATTCTTTTTTGAGCTAATGCTTAAGTTGTTTATATGTACAAAATAACCAATGATTATTGCTTGGTTTATTTGTATTTAATTGACACAAATTTTCTGTGATCAGATTTTATTAAATTGAAAAGAATTTTCTAAGTGTGTGGCGTTTTATTGGTGTGAGTATGGCTTGAGACACATGGCGGCACGGAGGAGCAGTGGTTAGCATTGTCGCCTCACATCAAGAGGGTTTCTGGTTCGAACCCCAAGGCTTCTGTGCGGAGTTTGCATGTTCTACCAGTGTCAGCGTGGGTTTTCTCTGGGTACTCCTGCTTCCTCCCACGGTCCAAAGACATGCAGGCTACTTAGTGACTCTGAATTGTCCGTAGGTGTGAATATGAGTGTGTCTGTCTCTATGTGTCAGCCCTGTGATAGTCCGGTGACCTGTCCAGGGTGTATCCCAGGTCTCGCCCAGTGTCAGCTGGGATAGGCTCCAGACCCCCAACAGGATAAGCGGTTATGAAAAATGAATTAATAAGCTGAGACACAAGTGACAGAAATGCCCTGACTTTATTTATTGCAGTGGTTACAAGTTCTTTTTGTGCCCCCTTGTTACAGGTTACATATGCATTATATTATTCTTTTTTTTACTGTTTTATTTCAATACTGTTGGGGGTATGAGTTAAAGTCATTGTGTTATGCAAGGAGAAAAGGAAAAAATAGAAGAAAGTCTGCAAATCAAATGTGTCTTCCTTGCGTTTTCTATACAGTTACGTATATACAGTTCTCACAACCCTTCTGATTAGTGCAACGACCCTGTGGCGGGGCCGCGACCCCCACATTGTCAACCAGCAATGGTACTTTAAGCTATTTTCTTTAATTCTCAGCTGATTAAAGTAAGAATATGTTGTATTTTATTCATATCCACCGTCCCATGATTTGATTTTACTTTGAACTTGTCTCTTTTTGCTTTGTTTTTTAGTTCAGAAGAGTGTACAATAATCAGCAATCACCAGTGGGTGAACATAATAGTACACTGAGTATCATCATATCTCCCCATCCATTCTCTCCACCCCAATATTCCCAAGTAAACTGGCATTTTTTTTAAACTTTTATTTTATTTATTTAACCTTTATTCAACCAGGAAGTCCCATTGAGACTGATAATCTCTTTTACAAGAGAGACCTGGCCAAAGTAGCAGCCAATCACAACACATTTAAAAGGCCCTAAATATGACATAGAATACCAAAAAAATCCACAATAAAACAACAACTATTCAAACTTAGTGGCCTCTCAAGGAAAATGAGCACATGTCTCTGTCACCACTTTCTTTATGATGCCCTTAAATTCATTGATGGATATGTGTTTGGGATCTTTTTTTTCCCCAAATCTGTCTATTGAGATTTTCCAAATAAAGCAGATAGAAAGCACAATTATATCTGGTCAGTCCAATAGTGACACAACAAAAATTTAGCAGTAAGTAAAATAAGAACAATACAAAACCAAGACAGGACTAAGACAAGACAAATACCACAAACCAAATCAGTATCCAGAACAAGACAAAGAACAAAACAATATAGTAGTAAAAATAAAATATGAAAATATGTGCATGATGACAAAAAATCACACTAAATACTTAAACATATAATGCATAACTGTTCTTGGAATCTCCTCTGTCTTAAAACTTGGAGGAGATTCATTTTTCAGTATACATTTCTTATGAAATATGTTACAGTGATTAATACACTGCATTTTTAATTAAACTGAACAATAGGCATGTCATTTAATAAGTAGAAACAGGGCTATAAATCCCAAAACAAAGGTGTCTTTTCTTTTGTATGAAGGACAGTTTGGTGAGTTATCCTTGGATATTTTTATAAGAGAGAGATATAATTTATTTTCTCCCTCTAATCTAGATTGGATAAAACATGGACGGTTTCTTTAATAAAACACACAATCACACAGAATATGCAGAATAAATACACTTTTTGAAATCATAAATATATACTACAGCTGCCACTCCTCATTCAACTGTACGACGTCACATATTTGTTTTCACATGTCACATGGTCAGGGCCCGCATTCTGCGCGCACTGATTGGCTCGAAAAGTTTACAGCGCTTTAATTCTCTGCTTGTGATTGGCCTTTAGAGACGTCACTCAATGACGTACACCTGTCAGCCTCTGCCGTCCACCGAGCAGTCAAGTCAGACAGACAACGGCTGAACGGCTGTTCTGGGAGTGTTTTATGGCTGCCGACTCAGCACGACATCCAGTAATTTGTTGAATTTAGGAAATACTCGGTGTTTTTAGAGGCCGGGAAAACCTCCGCGCCATATTGGAGCGAGGAGTGTAATTGAGACGAAGTCGACTGAATGTGGACACGGCTAACTTTTAAGTGCTAAATGAGTCGTCGAGCGAAATTCAACTTCACCGACCGCGGATAGTTCTGAAAACACACTCAGCGGAAGTCTAACTAGGATTAAAAGCGGTGCTTGAAGACGTGGACTTTGTGTTTTTACGAAGAGCTACATGAATTTAACGGGGCGACTGTTTTCGGTAACTTTTCTGTGTCGACAGCGGTGCAAACTGTTGTAGTGGCGTACTAACGTCGGCTAATTTTAGCTAGCTAGCTAGGTACGTTAGCAAGCCGCCTAGCAGCACAGTAGTTTACTACTGTCAGGAGTTTCCAAGGAATTCAGGCAACTTTTTTAATGACAATGTCTTTCATATGTGTTGCCACAGGTAGACATTTTGCAAACACGACAAAGCAGTAAAAAACACATTAAATTTGGAAACTAAAGCGATCATTTTCTGGTATTTGTAACTCCAGGTTACACTGCGGGCAATGTCATGAGTTGTAGTTTGGCTTTCTGGTTCGTGTTTTGAAAATTGTCACCGTGTTTCAGCAAGCAAGTTACCCAAATGATGCAGTCTTTGGACACAATCTAACCCCAATACCGAGCGACCATGTTGGATCTTACAGAATAGCGTCCGACTTTTGCAGGAGACGAGCTTCAGGTCGTGCAGTTGGCTCCGGTATTTTTTGCGCTGATGCGAACAGAAGAGGAAAACTTTCATTCGTCCTAGGGATCCAGTAGCTCGTCTGAAGTCTCCGTCGGTTTGTGCATCAAAATGTCGGCCATCTCCGCAGCCGAGAAAGTGGACGGGTTTACGAGAAAGTCCATGAGGAAGGCCCAGAAACAGAGAAAATCCCAAGGCTCTTCTCAGTACCGCACACACAGCGCTCCGGTCGAGCTTTCACCGCTGCCTCAGCTCAAAGGTACGGTAAGAGGATGAAGGGGTCTGCCGCTTAAAATAGGCTATGTGTGTGTGTGTGTTATGTGTACTGCTAGATGTGCAGCACTTCAATTCAGCATGCAGACCATTACCAGGATTGCAGCACACATAGAAGTGAATGCAATTTGCACAAATACTTAACACATTTGACTCTACATACAGTGTACATAATGTCTGCTGCACAGGGAGAAAACAGTGGTGAAAGTTGTGGGTGCCAAACATTTCCCTCAGTTATTTGCTGCAAAATTTGACCACAGGGCATTACTTCTAAAGTGCATTACATCAGTGTTGTGCTCTTTGTGTAAAATACTGCATTTTGTCAACACTTTTGTTTACTCTCGCATCACAGTTGCTTTGGGCTTGCTTTCAAGTTACAGAGACTCAGAGTAGCCTCACTTGGAGTACTTGGGGCTGAATTAACATGCAGAGACACATCCAGAGAGTGGTGTTGAACAAGGGGTTAAGAGGGATTTACTCTTTTGCATCAAGGTGTTGTGGAGGCACAGAGAAGTGACTGCAGTTTGGGGCTCAGGAGAAACCATGTGCAAACACAAGACCTATGATTGCTCTGTGATTGCTTGTGTTTTCCTCCTGTATGCTGATGCTGTGAGAGACTGTTCATAGTGAAGACAACAGTTGAAGAAAGGTTCAGTAATCCTTTCTCAGCGGCTTGACAAGTTTATATTTCATGACGTTACAAAGGCATTTCCAGTGCAAACATGCCGAATTATAACTCAAGTGCTGTGCAAAAGGCAGGATTGCTGGAACGCCTCGACAAAGAAGCCCACAGCTGGCTTAACTCATTCCCATTCATTCCCAGACACAATCTAAATCATCTCTGCAAGTCTGAAGAATTTGAACTTGTAGCTTGCAGGTCTTTACAAGCACTTCACACAATTGAAAGGTGCTTGGTGAGCGTTATCACAGTGATGCACCTGAGAAAATGAGAACTACCTGTTGAACATAAAGCAGTTTGTTAGTTTTTACAGCTTGTCTTTCATTGGGCTCATCTGTACCCTGAAGGGACATGCGCGCATAGCATTGCACAGTGGATGGATGTCAGTGGCAACTTGCAAGCACTAGGCCTTAGAATAGTGCGGCGGAGAATACAGGACAGAAAAATGCATCAAGGGAAATGTGACATTGTGTAGGATTAGTATGGGTAGCCAGTATCAAACTTCAGAGAAGAGCCAGCTGTCAGATGATGCATTAGTCTGTTGTGGGTGGAGGTCTGGTACGGTTTGGCATTTTAAGGAGTCTGTCCCCTACCTGTCAAGTGAAGTGCAGCTTTCCCTAAAAGGAGAAGTTCATAACTTGCACTTGTTTCTAACTTGTTGAATTGTGTTGCTTTCTTGATGTTTTCCTAAACACAAATGACAGTAAACATGTCGATATGTGTGTAAATACAACAGTTATATAAAGTTTCCAACCCTTGCAGTGTTTAATAAAGCTGGCAGTTTGTTTCCCCAGTGAAGAGTTATACATTTTGTACTTGCACGTTGAACTGTTTTAAACTCTCCCCATGCAAAGTATTTCAGCACAGACACAATGATCCGGTGTCATTATAGCTCATTAACATGCTTTTGGTAGTTGGCAGCAGTTAAATTTCTGTTTGAAAGCTGCACTGGCAAAAACTTGTAATGAATCCAAAACAAACTTGGACCCATTTTGCCCGTTTGTTGTGCTATTAAACACGTCATACATAAAACAATCTCACCTCTTCCTTATACTTAAGTCATATTTGTCCTTAAAAAAACTGCAGTAACGTGACAAATCTAAGCACGCACCTGACGAGATACCTGTCTGTTGTCTTCCTGTAGCCTGCGGTTAAAACTGACAGAGCTGAGCCCTCTTACAACTGTGTGTATTTAAGTTCCACTCACAACAATTTGTGCATTTCCACTGTGTACTTAAACGTGTTTGCACAAGTTATGTCACTGTAGGGCAGCATACACCTTGCACTGTTTACATCAAGCTACCATGAGGAACGCATTTAAATTTCACGAATTCACGTTACATATAAAATGGATTGATTGAGGAATGGAAATACTGAATTTGAGTATTCATTAAATGGCTGTCTACCAATCTATAGTATATCAGAGATAGATATAGACATATAACATTACCAATAACTATATATATGACACTAACCAATATTAAATCTTATTGTGAGCCACAAAAAGCATTGTTGAGGTATTGACACTTGCATATAACAGGTTATATGTCATTTTTTTGTATGTGTTTGAGAGAAGCCAAAGACAAATTTGAGGTGGACAATAAAGTTACCTATCCATCTATCTTTAAAAATTCAAAATGGCGGTGTACCATTTAATGACTAATTTGCCCACACTTACAAAGACAAGCCTCAACAGCTTATCATCTGTGTTTATGACACTGGAGGAACGAGCACAGTCGAAGTACGAAAGACTTGTCTGATCAAGTTTAGTTGAAACTTTTAAACATGAATCAGCTTCTCAAGACGATGAAAACAAAATGTCACAAATGAGTGTATATTGACGCCGACTGCTGTCTTACAAATTTTGTTGTAATGTAGGAAAAATGCAGTGTTTAATAATTCATTTTGAATCTTGTATGATGCGTACGGGGAGCAGATAGTGAAAGGAAGTGCAGGAGTTGAAACACTTGGTATGATTTTCCCAAACTAGAGCGCTGCACTACAACAACACCCCAAACTGACTTGAACCAGCATGGCAGCAACTGCTTTGTTGACAAGTGTGAAAGTGACAGCTAAATTATCCGACTTTTTTCCACTAAAAGCTTGGGTGATTTATGCCTTGTCATGGTGACTACTGTTGGTATAGAATTAAGGGAATCTGTGTTTCAGTTATTTTCTATACTCTCGTTTTTTAAAAGGGTGTGCAGATTTTTCAGCTGACTTCAAAGTCATCAAGCTCTTGCTACTGAAATAATGATGCATGTCTTATTATGGTATGCAAGCCTGTCTGTCTTTGAGACATTTCTCTTTTTGATAGTTCACATATCAGGGTTGAGTATTTTACTATAATTCAAGTAGAATGTTTTTGTATTGATGTCATGTGGTGTTGTAATTAATTATCTACAGAGCTGGAAAGTGTTTACTGTGAAGGAGCTTTTATCATGTGATGTACATCGAAGTGTTGAGCTAACAGCACCAGGGCGCTCACTAAAAGTTCTATTCCTGCAGGTTGAGGGACTTTTTGTGTCAGTGCATTAGTTTAAATCATTGTGGGAGAGTTTCTACAAATCACAGCAAAGGATAGAAGAGAGGAAATCAGAGTCTCCAAACTATGAGACAGTTTGAGTATTATATAAGATGAAAGTATTATAAGTGTCACAATGCCATTTAATACAAGAGTGAGAAACTTTAGCGCCTAAAAAAAGGAGGATTAAGTGAGCACGCTCACTAAAATGTTAAAAGTTTGCCAAAAACCTTTGATAGCAGCTCAAGTACATCAACAAATGGATTTCACTGTAGGTTACTCCACCAATACATCAGCATTAATGACTCTCAAACTGGAAAATAACATTGACAGTCAGCTCTGATGTTGCGTAGCCTTGACTGCAAACGCATGTGTCCTAGTCTTTGTAGAACTCACTTTTGTGGCAAAATCTGTGGAGACTCACTGAACATTGATGTATGAGATTGATAATTTCTAGTCTGGAATTGGAACTGAGTTGTACATAGGGATACAACAATCTGATTTTTTTCAGTCATGATACCTGAGCTTTTGGCATCGGCAACACAGATACCAATCTGATACCTGTGTTTAATTAATAAGCTGTATGTCTCACTGTGTGGAAGTGTCTGGGATTATTGATGTATGTGCAAGGCAACATCTGGCTTGACTTAAAAATGGCTATGAGAATTTAAATTTCAGTATGTAAGTAATACAGTAGCTGAAACTGTGAACATAGAATAGAATTTGATAGAATGTCCTAATTGTTACCGATACTTTATCACATTGATCGAAAATATCCAGCTATTTGGGTCAGTATCAGCCCAATATCAAGTTTGGATTGGTGCATAGTTGTTAATAATAGCCATAAAGATTGACTTCAGTTTCCCGAATGAGTGCAAAACTATGATTATAGTCCCTGTAGTTCTGCCTTGGGTACTAGAGCATGAAATGCTCACTCACACCTAATAGGGATGGGAATTAAGTACTCGAGTACTTGCTAAAAAAAAAAAAATCTAAGGTAAGAATGTAAATTGGCATACAACAGAAGACAAGGCAGTTTGAATTTCATTTACTGAACAACCAGGCCTCAATTAGCATTAAACCATAATGTCAAGGTTAAAACTAATCAGCAAACTTTCTTTTGCTGCTGTTACATGGGATACTCACAGAGGAGGACTGTCTCAGCTCTCTTCCTGCCCAGTTAGCACAAGCTAACACCGCAGCAGCAGCTAACATCCAACATCCAACATTGGGCTTTTAAACAGTCCCAACAAACTTACACTGAAACCGAAATGGCTCGACTCTGTCATTTAACCCTTTAACAGCTGTTAGATAACATTAGTTGTGTGATGCTAACCAGAGATAATAAACAGAGAGCATGACAGCAGGGCGTGGAGGCACTGAGTGAAGCAATACGGTGTGCACAGCGCTACAATGAAATAAGATTTTACTCATTTAAATAGTAGTAAATAGCATTTTAATAGGCGTAATGTACTCTATGCATTCAGTGAATAATGACATCCAAATGAAAGACCTCTAGTACTGACGCTCATCCCTAGTACCTTTATGTACTTTGTGAAGATGGCCTGCTGTGGTCAGATTCCTTTTGCAGTGTTATAATAATCAGACACAAGTGGAGCCATTAACTATAATTAGGATATGGTTGGTGCAAGAAAGAAGTTTGATATATTATTACAGTTCTTCTGAGCATGTTCAGGACATTTAGTCCATGTTTAAGGTGGTGTGTAATCCATGAATAATTAATTCCTATTTCTGCTTGCTTTAACAAGGCCCACATTTGTGC